GGGCGGGCGGCAAAGGAAAAGGGCACTTGGCAAGTAGCACAGGTGACAGCAGGAGTCCGGGGAGGGATAAGCGCCCTCGGGTGAAGGAATGAATGAGCTCCGCTTGTCACAGCGGGGGCGGAGCGCGGTCGCCCCGCTAGCGGAGGTAGGGAAGTTCGTGGGGAATTGGGGTGCTGGTGACCTGCAGAAGCTGCTGGAATACAAGGAGAAGAAGGGATGTCAGGAGCTCAGGGTCCTTGCCCCAAAAACTTTTTGTTGGGTTGAAAACTATCTAAGGGGCCTTGGCTCTTTGAAGTACCACGAAATCCTGGAAAGGATGGAAGCAAAAGGAAGGGAGAGAGAAAAGAAGAGCAGCGGCCAGGCTTGGTGGCACCCTCGTGTCATCCCAGCATAGAAGGCTGAGGCAGGAGGATAACCACTATAATTGTATAGTGAGTTCAAGGCCAGCCAGAAACTACATAGCCAGGACCTGTCTCAAAAAAAGAAGAGGATCTTAAAGGTTAAAATGTGGAGGAAATAGTATGAAGGAAAAGGCGCCCTGAATTTGTGAGGGTTTTCTCCTACAACAACCCCCTTTCTGAGAGCTCCAGCTGTCTGCAGTGCAGCTCCTGCCCACCGTGAGGGACCCACCCAGGCACCGAGCCAACTGTCCAAGCCACACGCAGGCCCCTCTCTGGCTCTTCGTCCCCATCAGAAGCAGCAAGCAGCTGCCTTCCTTCTGCCACCTCCTGCCTATTCCCTCTAAGCCCTGTTAGGTCATCAGGCCTGTGTAGGCCACAGTGTGACATACTGAGGATCCAAAGGGGTGTCCTCCGGTACCAGGGAAGCGCCTGCAGCTCCATCTTAGCCCCAGGTAAAGCTCCTCCTCCTCCTCCTCCTTCTGCTGAAGCTTCAGTGGGAGGCCAGCTGAGACATCATCAGAACCTCACACGCAGGAACTATGACATCACTGAGTTCCGGGGCCCAGTTGGCTGCTGTGGTTCTCTGAAAGGCACAGGCACCTCACTCAGCTCCCCAATGCCCACCAAGTGTCCCCAGTGTCCCCGGGGCCTCTGCTAGCTCTTCATCACACCTGAGAAACCAGGTGTGGTGTGCACACGTATAATCTCAGAACTCGGGAGGCTGAGGCAGGCAGATCGCCAAGAGTGCAAGGCCGGCCTGAAGTATGCAGCAAGTCCCTGTCTCAAAAACAAAAACCAAAAATAAAATAAAAATTTTAAAGTTTGGGGATGTGGCTTAGTGGTAGAGCACTTGCTTAGCATGCGAGAGGCCTTAAATTTAATTCCAGCACCACAAAAAGAAAAACAGAATTGATGGAAGTGTGGCCAGTGGGACTAAGGAGAGGCAGGGCTGGGTTGGGAGGGGCTGGGTTGAGATCGCTGAATTGTATAGAATATCTTGGGGGAGGGGCTATAATCCCAGCACCGGGGAGGCTGAAGGAGGATCACTGCAAGTTCGAAGCCAGCCTGGGTTACACAATGTGTTGAAGATGGTCTGGACTGCATAGTGAGACTTGCCTCAAATAAAATAAAATAAAATGCTAGGAGAAGCTGGGCATGGTGGTGCACGGCTGCACTGAGAGGGGCTGGGCAATCTTGCAGCTTGGACCCCTCCTCAAAATAAAAACTCAGCAGGAAAGCCCTGGCTTCAGGCCCCAGTGTCCCGGGCCTGGGACCTGGTCAGGAGCCCTGCCGAGCCTGAGAAGCCCGACCTTTCAGGACTGGATGAGGGCGCCTCCCACGCCTCCCACCCTCCCGCCACCTCTCCCTCAGGTGCCTCAGCTTTCCAGAGCTATAATTTTTTCATTCATTTGTTTATTTCAAATGGGATCTCACTCTGTAGCTCACACCAGTCTGGAACTTACTACGTAGCCCAACTTGGCCTGGAACTCTTGGTAATCCTCCTGCCTCAGACTCCCCAGTGCTGGAAGGACAGGTGTGCACCTCCACACCCAGTTCTGAAGTGTTTTTGTTGTGGGTTTTTAAATGTTTGGTTTCTCACCTCACTGGGTGCACACCCAGTCTCCTGCAGAGCCTCAGGGTGACCCTGGGGAGGCGGGGGCAGGGAGTGAAGGGTCTCTGAGTGCCCGAACCCGGGGGTCCTGCCCATCTCCCTGCCCTGGCCAGCTCCGCTGCTGGGTAACGCTGGCGACTCACCTGCCGCCTCCCCTGCGCTGTGCCGCTGTGACTGCTGCAGTGGAGGCCCTGCTCTGCCTCTCTGAGGAGCTACAGAGCCAGTCTGTTGCACCACAGGGTTTCCTGCGGTGGAGGCGGGAGTAGGGAACTGGCACTCTGCATGGGTTCCAGTTGCCCTTTAAAAATGCTTCTAGGCAGCAGGTGTGGTGGTACACGCCTGTCAGCACTGGGGAAGCTGAGACAGGAGGTAACCTGTGAGTTCGAGGCCAGCCTGTCTGAAAATGAAAAAAAAAAACAAAAAAAGGCAAAATGAAGGTTTCCTGGGGCTGGGAGCGCAGCTCAGGGTGCCAGGGCTGGCTCCCCAGCACCCACAAGGAAAACTGCTTTTCACCAGCTCTCTCTGAGCCTGGTTCATATGACGAGGGAGCAGGGAGTAAATTCCGGGCTCCATTATGGTAACAGTACCATTAAGATTGCAGGGTAGGGGGGCTCCACAAAGGGACCTAAGGGTCCTCTTCCTCCCCCTCTTTCCCTTCCACCTCCTCCTTTCAGGTGCATTGTTAAAATGTTGAGATACAGACTCACTAAGTCACTAAATTGCCCAGGCTGAAACTTGGGATCCTCCTGCCTCGGCCTCCAAGAGCGCTGGGATGGCAAGCACAGGCCACCATGCCTGCCGGGCTCCACTTTGCTCTTAGCAGTCACTTGGATTCTCCCTTTTCCTTCACTGAGAAATGGGCCCCACTATGCGAGCGCCACCCTTCCAGTCTCGGCCACTTCCCCCAGGATCTTCGCCTGTCCCTGTACCCCATACCCCGCTGCCTCTGCCTCCAGTGTCCTCTGCACAGCTCGGTCGCCATCTGGGCAGCCACCTGCTGAAGTGCGGTGAAGGGAGGTGGACCTGGACAGGAAAGGGACACTCATGTTGCTGCACGCCTGCAGAAGGACCCAGCTCCCCTTCCCCCAAATGCAGAAGACGACCTGGCCAGGAGCAGCTGAGAAAACTTCAGGACACGCCAGTTCCAGGAAGGTTGCACCTGGTCAATTCACCCTGGCCCTTGTCCAGCAGGGTGCAATGGCACAGGCCAGTCATCCCAGCACTCAGGAGGCTGAGGCAGGAGGATCCCTTCTAGTTCAAGGCCAGCCTGGCCTGCATAGCAAATCCTGTCTTTAAAAAAATCCCCCTGGGGCCGGGCGTGGTGGTGAATGCCTATAATCCCAGCACTCGGGAGGCTGAGGCAGGAGGATCGCTGTGAGTTCGAGACCAGCCTGGGCTACATAGTGAGTTCCAGGTCAGTCTCACTACATAGTGAGACCCTGTCTCAAAAAAGAAAACAAAAAAATCCCCCTGGTTCCTAGAGGAGAAGGACAGTGCCCCAGGGAGGGGACCCGGAGCACCCATTCTCACGGTCCCCACCCGGAGCTCTGGCAGCGGCGGGCATTTGGGCCGGGTTTGCCCAGAGAACTGCAGATTCTTTGTTTTGCAGAGACTGGGGATTGAACCCAGGGCCTCTCACAATGAATTGAATCCCCCCTCCTTTTAAAAAGTTTATTTTTAATTAAATTAATTTATTTAGTTTTGAGACAGGGTTTTACTGTGTAGTCCAGGCTGGTCTTGAACTTCTGGTGATCCTCCTGCCTCAGCCTGCTGAATGCTGGGGTCACAGGCGTGCACTAGCACACCTGGTTTCATCATACGGAATTTTACCTGTACATGATATATCTTGCTTCTTTTTTTTTTCCCCCATTCCCCATCAACCCCTCTTCCTCTCCTTATTTACAAATGTTTTATTTCTACTTTTTCCTTCTATTCTCTTTTTTGAAACAAGGACTTGATAAGGCATTAGATTGCCCAAGCTGGGCTCAAAGCTGTATCCTCCTGCCTCAGCCTCCCAGAGTGCTTTGATCATGGGCATGCATTGCCACACCCAGGATGGTTTTTCATTTGTTCTGTTACTCTTTTGTTTGCTTTGTTTTGAGGTAGGGTCTCCTTATGTAGTTCAGGCTGGTGTCCGGCCTCACGATCAGGATCCTCCTGTTTCAGCCTCCCAAATGCTAGAATTTGAGGCGTTCACCATGGTGCCAGCTAAGAGTCACCTTTGATGTCACTCCATGCTTCAGACAGTGTGAGACAGCTGTCCTTAGCTGTGCGTGACCTGAGCTATAGAATCAAGACAATGTGAGTCCAGTGTGCTAGCGCACACCTGACAGACCAGCACTCAAGAGGCTGAGGCAGGAGGATCACTGCACCCAATGGTCACTTCTGACTTACTTGGGAAAAACTGGAGCCCAAACACCCCAGCAATCAAGTGGTGACGTTTCGGCCTAGAACCAACCTCTCTGGCCTGCAGGCTTTTCATTCTTATATATTGATTTATCAGTATTTTAGAGACAGGGTTTTGCTACACAGCTGAGTTCAAACTCTCAGAGATCCTCCTGCCCCAGCCTCCCAAGTGCTGGGATGACAGGTGTGTACCACCACGGCCAGCTCGGTCCAGGGTCCTTGGACGACTTTCCTGGCTGGGCGTTCCCAGCAGGCAACAAGCAAAGGTCATCCGACCTGAGGTAGTGGCTGAAGTCGCCAGTAGCTGGCCCGGCAAGTTCTGAACGAGCTTCCCTCACCCCCCGGCCCAGGAGTGAGAGTCTTGTTCCCTGAGCAGGAAGCGCGGGACCCTGAGGAAATTGTGCGTCCTCGGTTCCACACAAAAGCCCTCTGAGGAAATTGCTTTCAGCTGGGTGCGGTGGACCACGTCTTGAATCCTAACACGCAGGAGGCTGAGGCAGGAGTATCGCCAGGTGTTCCAGACCAGCCTGGGCTACAGAGTGAGTTCAAGGCCAGCGTGGACTGCATAGCGAGAGAAAGAATAAGCAGGAAAGGAAAGCAGGGAGGGACTCAAGAGACAGCGGGAGTGGGAAGGGAAGAGCGAAGGGGACATAAAAAGAATGAAGATGCTTCCCCATGAGGAAAGTGATTATTACGTACTCCAAACATGGGCTCGGAAAAGTATCTACGTACATATCCGTGTTTTCTTTTGTTTTTTCAAGGCAGAGGCCGGCCTTGAAGTCAGCACGTAGCCCAGGCTGGTCTGGAACTCACAGCGATCCTCCCTCGTCAGCCTCCTACCTCAGCGTCCCGCATGCTGGGAATACAGGCATGCACCACCCAAGCCTGGCTAAAAATACAAAATTTTAAAAAAGGACTAAGGAGGTGCGCATGGCCTCCCACCACCCCTGCGCCACCCCAGTCTGACTGTCCCTGGTATGCCCTCTCCCCTGTTCCCTGAACTAAAGATCACCGGTTGCTAAGGTGGCGCAACGGCCTTCGGCCTTCAGGAATGAGGCCAGGAGCAAGGCGGCGCCAATCAGTCTGGGGCATAGTGCATACCTGTCAGTCCAGCATCTGGGAAGGCTGAGGCAGGAGAACCCCATGGTGAAGCCCAGTTTAGGCCACTTAGCAATGTAATGAGACCCTGTCTCCAAAGTAAAAAAGGCCAGGGATGCCGCTCAGGGTGAAGGCCCTGGGTACGATCTCCAGTGCTGCAAAAACAACAACAAAGGAAGAATTTCCGGGGCGAAACTTGCTTAGCCTGTGCCCGGCCACAGGGAAAGCAGCCAATAAAGGGGTCATTTGTCCACCAGAATGGGGCTGTGGGTGGCCTTGTCTTCTGTTTCCTTCTGGGACCGGCTTTGGGGTGCTGGGCTTCCCTTCTACAGTTTGATCGTAGGTCCCTTCTGTATATTTATTAAAGGTGGGAAAAGAAACAGGT